TCTTAAAGCTTCAGAAGTTCGAGGAGCTACATCATTTACGACGCCATTATCCCGAGCCTGCGGAATATGAATTCTTCTACTAAGTACTTTTGTTTTTTCCACCTTAAATTAACACAAATGAGAAATCAAAACTATATATATTTTATAAAATTAATTTTTTAAAATAATATTATATACCTTATACTGTTCTTCCCACACATGACTAAATTGCTGAGAACCAGAGACTTGCCAGAATGAAGGAGATTGAGTTCTTGCAAGTTCATTATAAGTTCTATTAAAAGCTACATTATTATTATTTGGATATGGTCTTCTAACAAAAACAGGAGGTTGAACCATTCTATAAAAGATAAATATAAAAGTATCTTAATTTTTAGAATATTTATAATAATTTTCATTATAATTCTATTTAATGCTCAGATAAGATCAAAGTTTTCTAAATTTCATTGTCTGAATCAAGCAAGGAAAAAGTCTACTTGCGACTCCAAGACTCTTTCTCGGATCTTCATCATTTTATTCTATTGTATTATATGTTATATTTATATTATATTTGTAATTCAATTTATAATTACCCTACTGGTGTTGAAGCAGAAGTACAATGAGCATTCCATCCAGAATATGTTCCAATAACTGGCATGGATGACTGATAATGTGGAAATTGAAGAGCTCTTCCACCCGCTAACGAAGCACTTGCAGTATACATTTGTCTTGGAGAACTAGTAACAATTTCTGATTCACTTACAGTACCGTTTCGGTTTATAGAAATTCCTAAAAATGTAAGAATATATTGCTATACATACATTGCTTACAAATAAATATAGTATATTTATAATTATTTTTATTATGTGTTATACATTTCATTATCATTTATATACTATTTTATTATTGTATTTTATATCATATATTACTAACATATATATACATATTATTTTAGAAAAAATAGTACATAAAATAAGTATAAAATAATAAAAAAAGAATTTACATTACAGAAATATATGATGCAAATTTTTTTTTTTCCTTCAGTGTAACTTTTTAATTATATCAAATGATAAAAAATTTTTCAAGTAAATGCTATTAGATTTTATAATAATTAATATGTCGTTTCATTTAAAAAATTATTGACTTATTATTTAGAAAAAAAAGCATATTGATATTTATTAATAATTTCGAAAAAAATAATATTTGTAAAACTTTATGCTTCATTTTGTATTTTATCCTATATATATTTTATTAATTTAACAATAAAAAAAACTTTTAGGAAATGAAATGGATAAATAATATAGAATTACCTCGAATTTTTTGAAAATGAGTCCCTTTCTCCTTTAGAAATTTTACGGAAATTTTCGAACCAAAGACAACCTTCCCATTCAAACGCTTCTGAGCTCTATAAAAAAAAAGTCACATTGTTATTAAGCAAAGTCAACTAACTGTAATTATAAGAGGCCAATACACAAGATACAATCAATCCTATGAAAATGACCTTCAAAATTTTAATAAACACATTTATGATACAATTTATAATGTCGGTTAATTTTTCAAAAAATCTCTATAACTTTTATTTATAATATTCATATACTTCACTAAATGTCTTTTTCAGAGTCATAATAATCTTTCATATTGTTAGCTTACCTTATATATAAATAAAATCATCAAATCATGTCATTATTATAATATATATAAAATAACAAAATTATATAGATAAATAAAATAATAAATAATAACAATGTACCAAAAAATAACAATGTTTAACTCTTATTACTACCATACATATAAATGAAATACAGTACAAATTAAACTTATGATCTTCTTACAATACTACTAGATTCGTTACATTGCTATACACTGTTTGAATCCTACCTTATTTATGTATTTATCCCTACTAGTTTAAATACTATTTTTTTTATTAACGCGAAAAAGACCAATAAAATTTCTGCAAATAGAAACAATTCATTGGTTACATAATGGGCGGGTTATTCAAATATTATAAAAATATATCTGATATTATATATTATTTACATCATAAGTAAATTATAAATACAAATTTCTATCATATAGTTATTTTATACAAGTAATTAAACAAAATTTACGGAGATAAAAACAAAAATATATATAATACCTTTTTGCAAAAGGTTTGAAGTAAAATGTAATTGCAATATTTGATTATAAATATATATAATACCTTTCTGCAAAAGGTTTGGAAGTAAAGTGTATAATTGCAGTATTTGATTGAATTTCCATTACTTGACCACCATAATTTTCGAACATTTGTTTAAGACAACATTTAATAGATACAATATCCTGATCTTCAGGAAGGTTACTAACTAGGAGATCATAATATGCAGTAACCTGAAAGGAACATAAACTTTACAAAATATTAAAAAACATATACATATATAAAATATATAAAAATATTAATAAATGTCAAATAATAAAAACATATAAAATGTTAATATATTTAGAACATCTTTGCAGGATTGATTCTAGAAATAAAACAATAAAAGATAATATAAAAAAATACTAATTGAGATCATTTATTATATTATTTATTAAGTTATAAGCAATTTAAATTTGATAAAGCGAGAGAGGAATGAAATAGTATAATATAATGGTAAAATATAGTATAATAGAGATTGAGCAATTTCTCATTTCTATTTCTATTTTATTTCATTTAACACAAACTCAAAATTGTTTATAATTTAGTAAATAAATTTTAACTAACATTTTTGTATAGCAATTTTCTTAGATTTGACTTTCCAAAGATGTCTTATAAATATATTAATATATTATATAATATATATATATAAATAAATATATATACAAAGAGAAATATATATATATAAAAAGAGAAGAAGATTATTAACATGTTGACATTTTACATTTATAAAAATAACATTTTATGAATATTTTAATATATAATTTATAATAATTTATAATAATTTAATATATTTTATACATATTACAAATTTAAAAATTAACAATAACAGACATTACACATTAAATATAGATTTACATATAAAAATAAAAAGACAATTATAATTAAAAAATTTATTATAAAAATTTAGAAATTTAAATTACAAAAAATCTGTATTTTATCTTTAATAATATAAAATAATATTAGTAGAGTATCATAAGAGTATTATATAAGAAAATAAATTACCTGTACAGTTGTGGATGGCAGTGATTCCATAAGTTCTGAGAAATCATAATGCTCATTAGCACATAGTATTAATGCTTCAGATGTATTTTTCATATGTAAAAGTATCACATGAATTTTTTTTCTATAACGTAAATCACTAAGATCAGGAGCAAAATTAATATCACCAGATATTAAAATCACAGCTGCTGGACTTCCATGAATATCAGCAAATCTTCTAATAGATTGTTTAAGTTTTTCATCAGCAGCATTTTTGCATTCTCTAGCAACATGTATTAAATTAACCTGATAGACATAAAATTTATAAATACAATGTTATACTATTAAAAAAATAATATTAAATAATTTATATTTTTAATAAATATATATTAATTGGATTTACCTGAGCATTATTTAATTCTCTCATAACCCGACTATTTTCTCTTAAGACATCACAAACTACAATAAATTCTGCTTCTCTATAACCATTAAAAAATTTTTCTCTAATTACTTGTGTTACAGCCATGGCGGACCTTCCCTTTGGTACCTAAAATAATTATAAAAAATATTATAATCAAAACTATTATGTAATGTATTTCAATAATATAATAATTATATAATTTAATACTAACATGACAATTTTCTATATCCCAAAATACACCAATGGGTGGAAGATACGTTGGTAAAGATGAAAAATTAACTGGACTATCATGATGCGAGAAACAATGATATTTATAATGACTTAACAATGGAGAAACAGATGTTGCATTTTCAACTGTAATGCTATTATTGCTACTATTTAGGTCACATAATGATTGAGATATGCTACTTTCTATTAGCCTTTCATTTAGACCTTTCAATTCATCTTGATCATTCGCACAAAGTGCATAATAGTCTGTAGTATCTTGGTCTGCCATGTGGTTTAAAGAATGTCATATAACATTCCAATATAAGAGCTATGATAAAATAATACATCATGTAGTATATTTAAGACAAAAAATAAAAAACATTTAACATATATTATATATAATATAAAATTAAAACATTAATAACAAAAAGAAAATAAAAATATAAGTAAATAAAGAAAATAAAATTAATTATAAAATTTATAAATATTACTATCTTATTTTGTATTGTTAATAATAAATATGTATTATTATTAACAATATCATAAAATAATATATAAAAATTATATGCAGTATATAATATTTCATATACATGATCGTACATTACCTAAAATATTAAATTTATTACATAGTTTAAAAAATTTTTGTCGGCTGTATGAGGACATACAGGACGTGGTCAAACGTAATATAAACGTAATTTCTTAAATAATTCTAGAAAAACTACAAAACAATCGGTAAATTAAAACCACAAACAATACCCACATCGTACTGACTTTCGAATAAAATTAATACCACAAACAGAAAGCAAACACCGATCAAAGCAGCATGCAACTATCCAACTATCGCTACCTCTCCCGCTTCTTACGCAGTGCACAATGCATCTTGCAGGCACAAATAGTAACTTCACATTCTTAAGTTACTATATAGTTGAATCTATATAATTAAATTTCATATTTTATACATTTATTTTATATTTAATTATTAAGAAAAATTATGAAACAATAAAATAACATAAAAATATTAAAAAATTTATATTTATCACATCTATTATATGTTCTTATTATACATATAAATAAAAAATATATGTTAATAATTATATATCATCTAATATAATCAAAATGAATGGAATTTAACTTTTTATAATAAAAAAATATACTTTTTCATTATTTTTACTTTCATTAATTATCTATGTTTAGTTTTTTATTTTATTAATTGATATTTATAGATATAATGAAACACATCAAAGATAATTTATAATATAGTGTATAGATAAACGATATCGAATATGATTGGTCAAATAAATAAATCTTAAAAGAAAATAATAAAAATTATCGGATCTCATTGAACTACGTCTGCTTTGAAGTTATTTTGTCAAGTTTCTACCACTATTCTTCGAAATCCATGGTCGTTGCTGCGTGAGTTGTCCGAGCTATGATCATTTCAAAATTTCGATAACATGGCATCGTTAGACGACGACTCGTTTTATGATATTAAATCACATTCTGTTGATACTATTCAAAAACCAGAATGGATTCCTTTGTCTCTTACTTTAGTCGAATATCCTCAAGGTAAGTATTTCAAAATTTTTCAATAAAACTTTATACTTTTTCTATTATTGTTTAATTTCATAAAAATTTCTTATTATAAATATATCTATTTCTTTTTTTTAGGAAATATTGTATTTTTTATTAAATTTTTTATAAGATTTTATTTGTGTTTTTAAATCAATTTTATTTTTGGTTAAGTATTTTTATTTATATAATTTATTTTTGCATATGTTTAACTACAGTAGTTATTTTCAGTTATGTATTTAAAAAAAATATAAAATTTGCATTTTTTAAATATTATGTATTGATACATATTGATATGTTTATATCTAAAATGTAATTTGTTTTCAATTATATTAAAATTTATATTAAAATCCAATTTATTTAAATCTCTTTTGATTTACAGGTGATTTATTTGGAAAATTTTTAGCTCTAATAAGTTTACTACCATTTGCTATTATAGCTGGTTTCATAACATTAATTCTTTTTAGAAGAGATTTACACACAGTAAGTAAAAATTTTCAAATTGATTTAATGTATTCTTAATTTCAATATTTAAAAAAGATTCTTTTTTAGATTACATTTTTTAGTGGAATTATAATTAATAAAGGTATAAATTTTATATTAAAACATACAATTTGTGAAGCAAGACCAATGAGACATAATGCTATTGAATATGGTATGCCATCAATGCATGCACAATTCATGTGGTTTTTTGCTACATATATAACACTTTTTATATGTATAAGGTAATTTATTTTTATTTTTACAAAATAGAAAACAATTATATTATGATGCATGTTTTATCATATTATATCATTACATCATATATTTTATCATTACATCATATATATCATATATTTTTAGATTGCATCATAATAATAATAGCAGCATTTCAGAAAAATTTTGGAGAATTACTATCATTATTGTTTCTATAACTATTTCTATTTTAATTACATATAGTAGAGTTTATTTATTATACCATAGTAATTCTCAGGTTGTATGGGGTACATTTATAGGTATTATGTTAGGAATAATATGGTTCATAATTACATATATGATTCTTACACCAATTTTTCCTATAATTGTCTCATGGTAAGTTAATAATAAGAAATAAGTAATAAAAAAATTTTTTAATTTTATGAAAAATAATATTATATGTGGTATTATATTTTTAGGCGAATATCAGAATATTTGTTATTACGTGACACAACATTAATTCCTAATATTCTTTGGTTTGAATACACAAATATTCGTACAGAAGCACGAGCACGTTCAAGAAAATTAGTATCAATGAAATCACAATGACGCCTAATGTCTGGCCAATGGGCTGATAACAAATAGGATATTGAATAAATATTAAAGAAAGTCATCAAATAAATAACTTCAGCCAATCAAAATGTAAAAATTGAAAATTTATTTGGCTTGAAGAAATAATCACAAACAATCACAAACAATGGCATTGAATTTTCACTAACAATATTTAAATACATAAGGTATTAGTACAAATTTTGCATATGAATTTTCATATTCATATCATAGAATATGTACATTTTATCAATTGATTTTTTTGCATAACTTATTTATGAGAATGATCAACAACATTATTTTTTGTTAATTTTTATATTTATATTTCTATATCATAAAAATAAAATATCTATATGTTCATAAAAAGAATTACATTTACTTTAAACAAAAAATAAATTTAGTGCAATAACAAAATATATAATTAAAAAAAATATATAGTTTTGTCACTAGATAAAATAAATATATAGTTTATGTTGTAATATATCAATATTTTATCACTAGATAGAATAAATTTGTACACTTCCTTATGTTGAAGTACATCAATAGCTAATAAGTAAATCATTATAAATTTAAAATTATTGTATCTTATATTTAATTAAGATTAATATTACGTTATTTTATTATGCATTTTTTGTAATAGATATATATATATATATAAGTACAATTTTTTATATAGTTTTTATGGTATGAAGTATTATATGTAGTTCCTTTTTTACTATAGTATGCTTAAATACTATACTACAGTAATTATGCTTAAGTAATAGAACTGTATATTAACTTGATATTAAAAAAATTATAAATTAAAAGATAAAAAATCAGCAATTAAACTAAAAATTTAAATTATATATGAAGTCAAAAATTTAATCAAATAACTGAAAATTTTTTAAACATTTAATTATTTTAATTGTTGATTTTTAAACAAAATAATTTTTAGAAAAATGATAAAAAGTGCTTATACATGTTAACTTTGTTTTATATTTAATATAAAAAAAATAACATTTTAGAATTGTATCATTATGTTGCTCAATTAAATCTTGTTATAACAATTATATTATAACAAATACAAAATTTGGTATTGAAAATGAATAAAAATTATAATTTTTAAATCAATGCAAAATTATTATAATGTAAATATGCAATAATATTTTATAAATGAATTTTAAATAAATGCACAATACAACAAATTGTTAATGTTTATATTGATTCTTATATTTTATAAATAAATATTTACAAGAAATACATTTTCTTAAACAAGTTGATTCGATTTTATAATAATTAATTATTTTTAAATAAAAATTTTATTTAAATATTTTATAAGATAAAATATCGATTTGTATACTTAACCAGATGGTCGATTTTTGAATGTTACGAGAGATCGAATTTAAGTTTGACAAGATGTCCGAAAATTGAAGGATAATAATGAAAATTTTTAATTAATGAACTAAAGATTGGATATTATTTATTATTTTTGCTTTCTTGTTCTTAATATAACGTTTTTGAATTGATTTAAATCTGGAATTGGTAAGTTTAATTAAAATCATCAAAGTTATATTGAAAAAGAAAAGAACAAAATAAACTGTAACATATCAATCGTAACATTATATAGAATTAATTCATATTTAACATTATTTTATGTGTTGAACATATCAACTTATTATAAATTAATTAAATTTTAATTATTGTAAAAATACAAAAATGTAATCGAGGTTACATTATATTTTTTATCATATTTTAATTGTAATGTAAGTTATAAATAAAATGTAAATTTAAATAATATTTAGATAATATAATTAATATATTAAAATCTATTTCTCTTTCAATTTGAAACTATACACATATAAATATTATAATAATTGTATACATTTGTTTAAATTCTTTTTATATGTTATATAAAAATAATTATTTGAAAATGTAGATATAATTGTTAATTTATTAATTTTACTTAATGATTTAATTATTTCAGAATATAGTGGATTTTCTAAATTCAAACTGAAACTTTTTCTCTTCTCAATGAAACCTATTCTGTCATGTCTTACACTGAATTGGAACATGGTTATCAGGTAAATAGAAATATTCTTTCTTTATTTTTATAAAATAATTAACATTTTTAGTAATTTATAACTTTTGATTTCTTATCAATAATGTAAAAATAAATCTTTTTAGAAAAAATGTTTTCTAATATATAATTATTTCTTATTAATTTTTAATTTATTTTAATGAAATTAATTTTTAATAAATGAATATAATAAAATAACTATAAAAATAAATAATAATGATCTCATTAATTAATTTAAAATAAGAATAATAAATGAATTTGTTTGTTTAAGAAAATTATTAGAAATTTAAGTTTCTAATAAGTGATAATTAATTAATAGGGTCTACGGAGTGCCAGTCGACCAATTTTCTATGTAGGGGATTTAAATACTGTACAATCAACCCTTGTGGGTCCTGTAGCTTCTTCTATATATCGTTCATCAAAAAGAGTAAGTGTTTTTATATTATTTATTAAAAAATAAATCAATTATTTTATTAAGAGTGAATTAATTAATTAATGTAATTTGTAAAAAACTTTTTATTATATAAATTTAAGTTAAATTTACATTTGCATCATTAAAAAAGTGATTATGTAATATTAAGATTTTATAAAATTTATTTTTCATATATCTCTGCAAATAATGTGATTAAAATAGACAATAAAAAATAAGATATAAATAAGAATAAGTATTTCAAGAAAAAGAATACATTATTATATATCACTGTTTTACTTTGAATTATATAATAAATTACTATATAATAAAGGTTAGAAAATTGTTTTATTAAAAAAAATTATTATTTTATATAGTTTCATAAAATATTTATATATATTATAATTATTATATATATATATATATATATATCTTATCTTTTGCAATAGATTTTATATCGAATTATATTTATTAAATAATTTAAATTCAACAATAGATATAAACATATTTTATTAAATGTAATGATATATTTATTTAATCAGTTAACTGCTTTTAAATAACTTGATGATTCATGAATATGCACACTTTAGTTATTCAGTAGTCTAAAAATAAATTATATATGATACCTGTTAAATGTACTTTGTACTTCTAAAGTTACATAAATTTTGTTTTGTGTAATAATTATTATATTAATTTTATTACTCAATATCCATTAATATAAATATATAAAAAAATATTTAATTTAATGGTATAGATAATAGATTTAATAGTGTTTAATATATATAATATAATCATTGTGAATTGAATTAATTAATAACAGAAGTCAACTGATTAAATATATGTATATGATGATATGATAATGTTAATTGTTACTATTAAATACATAATTGAACTATTTAATATTAATATTAATATAATATACTAATATACTAGCATAATATACTGCAGATTTTTTAAGGCTATAAATAGAATATGTATGAATTAAATAATAAGAAAATTAAGAAAAAAAATAGTTTATAAATGTTTATAAATATATATTTTTTAGCATGATAGTAATTTTTGATATTCTTATTATTCTATATGATATATTTAATATATATTTCCATATTATATTAATTTTAATACGAATATGAACTATATTTTTATATTTGGATAATATTATTCATTCATTATTCTTTGCTATCACTATTATATTAATTATTTATAATACTTTGAGTTTATAATGGAAAATATAAATTCTTTATCATCTACAACAATTCCTGATATCTACATTTTTGATTGTGATAATGAAGCAGAACCATATTGGCAAATGATGGTAGAGTTTCTCTCAATTAATTTGTCAGTTATTTCACATTATTAAATTTAAATATTTTATATAAATTTAAAATTTTAAAAATTATAAAAAAGTAATCTTTATATTGTTTTTATTCATTCAAATATATATAAAATAATTATAATAATTTTTTATATTAATTTTGTAAGTATTCAATTAACATTGCTGAAATTCTCATCATATAAAATTTACAATTGATAAGAAAAATGTTAATATGCAAAAAGATTTTTTTATATAAATATATATTATAGTTCTATAATAAATGTATACTAGTTATACATTTCAGATATAATTCTTTTTTATTTTTAATCAAATTTTATTAATCCATTTTATTATTTTTAGTTCACTGCATAAATGATAAAATAAAAAAATTATAACAGATAACAAGATATTTAATAACAAGATAATAGATATTTCTTTGTTTAATATTTAATAAATGTTTTTAATAAATATTTAGATAAAATATTTTTATTTAATTGTTTTGAAATTTATATTTTATTTTATGAAAAATTTATATAAATATTAAAAAATTTCTATTTGTTTTATAAAATATTATAAAAATTGAAATACAAAAAATATATAGTTTATAATAATTTGTTTTTAATTTACATAAAGTAATATTGTAATGATTGTAAAAATTATATTTATAAAATTTTATATAAAAAATAAATGAAAAAATAAAAATAATATAATGCATATCATTATATCAAAAATTTATTAATTGATATTTATTTTTATTATAATTATAAAAATAATTTTATGTTTATCTTTAATATTAAAAACATAGATTTGGATATGCAATATTGTAATAATTATCATTGAATTTTTTTTATTGTTAATTCTTTTAAATTTTTACAATATTTTTAAGAATATAAAAATTATAGGAATAAACTGAAACAATAAAAATCACATAATTATTAGTGAATAAAAAAACAAAACTATTAGTAAATAAATTTTCATTTAGGCCGAACTGTCGGACGGGTGTAGCAATGATGATGGATGCATGGGTGGAAGCGACTTGGAAGGAGAAGGAAAACAAGTTTTGGTTGGAATCTGTGCGATGGCAAAAAAAATCTCAGAGTAAACCAATGAAAGAAATTTTAACAAGATTAGAAGAATTTGAATATATTAAAATAGTAGTATTTCCTGAAGAAGTTATTTTAAAGGTAATATTAGTAGAAAATAAGAATATTTTAATTTTTATATAAAAAAATATAAATTTACAGGAGTCTGTAGAAGATTGGCCAATTGTTGATTGTTTAATAAGTTTCCATAGTAAAGGTTTTCCTCTTGATAAAGCTATAAATTATGCTAATCTTAGAAATCCTTTTATCATTAATAATTTGCCAATGCAGTATGATATTCAAGTATGTAATAAGTATATGTGATAAGTATTGACAAATATTATTAACATTAATTTTTTTATATAACATTAATTCTATATTTAATAGGATCGTAGAAGAGTTTATGCTATTTTAGAAAGTGAAGGAATTGAAATTCCCAGATATGCTGTTCTCGATAGGGACTCATCTGATCCAAAACGTATATTATATATAATTT